ACAAAGGGTGTTGGGAGGATCCTCCCAGGATGGGAGAAGCATGCTGAAAGTAGACTATCGACCAAACATGATTGCCACTCAATGTCTCTTTTGCAAACCACAGCACTCAAAAGGAGAGAGAGGGAAATTCCCTGCCACAGAGGCAGGGTGGGATGGGGGCTGGGGGGTGGGAGGTATACTGGGATCCGTGGTGGTGGGAAATGGGCACTGGTGGAGGGATGGGTGTTTGATCATTGTATAATTGAAACCCAAGCACAAAAATGTGTAAGTCTGGAAAAAAAATAAAATAGAATGTTTTTTAGTGGAAAAAAAAAAAAAGAAAATATACCTTCATGTTGGGAGGATCCTCCCAGGATGGGAGAAGCAGGCTGAAAGTAGACTATAGACCAAACATGATAGCCTTTTTTGCAAACCACAACACCCAAAAGGAGAGAGAGAACAAAAGGGAATACCCTGCCACAGAGGCAGGGTGGGGCGGGGGGATCAGGAGTGGGAGGGATACTGGGATTAGTGGTGGTGGATAATGGGAACTGGTGGAGGGATGGGTGTTTGATCATTGTACAATTGAAACCCAAGCACAAAAATTTGTAAATATACAACTGTACCTCATGGTGTTTCACTAACGAAAATTTAAAAAAATAAAGTAAAAAAAAGTAAAAATAAATAAATAAATAAATAAATAAATGAAAATACCGTTGGTATTTAACTAAGGATTGCATAGAAATTTGATAATCACTTTAGGTAGTTTGAAAAACATTTAAAAACATTAGTTTTCCAATCCATGAACACCAGATCTTTTGGTCTTTTTTCCTTTTTTGTCTGAAGCATTTTTTAATTTTCATCATGCCTCTTTCACATCTGTGTAGTTTATTCCTAAGTATTTTATTATTTTTGGTGCCATTTTAATTTGGGATTATTTTCTTTCCTTCAGTTGGTTCATGTAAGTATATAGAAATACACTTGATTTTGTGTTATTTTTATACCCTAAAGATTTGTTAAATTCATTTATTAGTTCTAACAATAGCCTTTCCCCGTATTTTTTTCTTTTTATAAATTTATTTATTGAATCACCGTGAGAGCCGTTACAAAGCTTTTGGGTTTTAGTCTCAATCATACAATGATGAAACATCCGTCCCTTCACCAGTGCCCATTTTCCACCACCAAAAACCCTAATATATCCTCCATCCCACACCCTCCCACTACCTGTGGGGCAGATGATTTCCACATTACTCCCTCTCTACTTTGATTGCATTCAATATTTCGACACCAGACCCACCATTTTTATTTGGAATTTTACCTTAATACTCAGATCTGCTGAAAAGGCAACCGTAGACAATTTGTTTTCTATTGCTGATTATGAATAACATATGATGTCTCAAGGCTACAGTAGTGGCTTTTGGGACCATACCTAGTAGTGCTCAGGGATTATTCCTCACTCTGTTTTCAGGAATCATTTCTGGTGGAGTGCAGGGGCCATGTATTGTTCTGGGGATTGAACCCAGATCTGTCACATGCAAGATAAGCACTCTTACCCATGTACTATTTCTACAGCCCCCTAACAATAACCTTTTAAAAATCTTTTCTACTGTCCATGTACTCAGTAGAGGGGCATCTGGTTAGTGGTGCCCAGCTGATAGCCACCAGGGACAAAATAATTCCTTGTTTATCCTAGAATGGCATTTGGTCTGGATCTTGGCCTTGTTCCTGCCCTGGCACAGATTAATAGGTTAATTTCAACAAGTTACTCTTTTATTTAGCTCATACTCATTTTTTCCCTCTTGATGCAGTTTTAGTTGTTAATCTTCCATATTTGTTTTTAGTGGCATCATGAGTTGTGATGAAATAAAAATCTTTAGGAGACTTATTTTGAATTCTTTTGTCATGTAATTTATAGAATTCCCTTTCTTAGGGAAGATTTCTGAAATTTCACGACTTTGATTGGGCCATCTGTCCTTCCCTATTTCTTTGTGTGATTTATGAAGTTAAATAAGATTGGGTACAACATGAGAAACCATTATTAATAGTATACTGCAAATGACATAATCTCAAAGTTTTTAAATTATAAAATTAAAATAACTTTTAAAAGAGTTGAATGTTTGACAAATCAGCTGCATTTTCTCTTTATAAACTGATTTCTTACCATGGAAGACCATCCCTCACCAGTCATCCTGGCTTGAGTTTCTGGGAACCTCTTTAACTTTTTCTGGACATTTGTGTGGGTTATTTCCCAGTGAGAAGAAGATTGAACCTGCTTAGGAGCTCATGCCTTGCTCCACTTTGGTGACCATCTTTGTTGCTGCAGTGACTGGTGCTGTAAGGACCCCCAGACTGGCCTTTGTTCTCCAGAGCCCCTAACCCGACATCCAGTGCACACTGTCATTCCTGTCAGATCTCCCAGTCAGGAGAGAAAGAAACAAATCTTGGCTGTTCCCCCCAAAGTTGATTTGGGGACCATACTCAGCTGGTGCTCAGGAATATCTCCTGAGTCTGTGCTCAGGGATCACTCCTGGCAGGCTCAGAGGACCATTGGGGTGCTGGGGATCAAACTCAGGTCAACTTCATGCAATGTAAGCACCTTACGTGGTGTACTATTGCTCCAGCCTTTTTTTTTTTTTGGAATGTTATTCCTACTTCATGACATGGGAACATGAAATCAAATAAAATGCAACACAATAGGACTGGGGAAATAGCTTAATGGGCTGAAGCACACACATACTTTGCAATAAGGAGCCTTGTGTTGTGTTTGATCCGCAGCACCACTTGGCACTGAGCAACTCCAAGAGCAGGCTGTGAGCTCTGAGCCTGGAATAAACCCCAGAGCATCACAGGGTGTGGTCAAAATTGGAAAAAAAATAAAAAATAAAAAAAAACTATAAAGTTTCCTTAACCTTAACTACTTCCACATTCTGCTTTTCTTGGCTTTGTGCTTATCTGAAACTCCACTGTAACTATAGCACAGCGGGTAGGGCGTTTGCCTTACAAGCGGCCAACATGGCCGACCCGAGTTCGATTCCTCCGCCCCTCTCGGAGAGCCCGGCAAGCTACCGAGAGCATTCAATATGCCAGACACAGTAACAACAAAGTCTCCAATGGAGACGTTACTGGGCCCGCTCGAGCAAATCGACGATCAACGGGAGGGCCTTTACCTTTTATATATATATATATAATTTTTGGGCCACACCCGGTTATGCTCAGGGGTTACTCCAGGCTCTGCACTCAGGACTCACTCCTGGCGGTGCTCAGGGGATCATATGGATGCTGGGAATCGAACCCGGGTCAGCCACACCCTACCCACTGTGCTATCACTCCAGCCCCACCACTGAACTTCTTAAGTGTTTCTAGTGTCTGGGATTCTCACGAAAGCAATGTGGTGACTGGAGATCAGCGGTTTTCCCCATCCTCAGTGTCTGGCCTGCCACAGGCAGTGTACCTGCTTCTTGGCTCTTCCATTCATACAAAAAAGCTCAGGGAAGATCATGAGGCTTGCAGTCCTGATGACTTCTTGAAGAATGGGATTCCTGGAGCCCAGAGCATGCACAGAACTGCCACCAAGGAGCAGCCAGAAACTTGGGCTGAGCTGACAGTCCAACGTCTTGGGCAGACAGAAGAGGTCTGGGACACTGTGCTCTGAGCCAGCAGGCAAGGCTTGGAGAACCAGATTTCTGAACTCCGTGAGACCTGGAGCCTTAAAGTGTTTTGCCCTCAAAGGATCCCTCAGTGCCACTGTTCAGTCCTTTGTACTAAAATTCTGTAAACTACAAACATTTGGTAAATGAATTTTTTTGGTAAGTAAAAAAACAAAGGCAATTATGTCCATGTGTTATTGTTAAATAAGTCTCTGTGGGGATTCAGGTTTCCTATTCTATCATTTTCTCTTATTCTATCATTTGCTCTCTCTCTCTCTCTCTCTCTCTTGCATTTGGGATCACAACTGGTCATGCTAAGGGGTTACTCCTGGCTCTGCACTCAGGAATCACTCCTGGCAGTGCTCCGGGGGCCATTTGGGATGCCAGGAATAGGACCTGGTTTGGCCGCATGCAAAGTAAACACCTACCCACTGTACTATTGCTCCAGCCCCCTCATTTTCTCTCTTGTCTCATCCATTTCCTTCCAGGACTGTGTAGCACCGAAGTTATTGGACTGAGAATAGAGTTTGGGACTTGGGCTCTTATTCTCTTGCTTTCCTGGATTTCTCCAGTCTATCTTCAGCTCTTAAAAAATTTTGGCTTTTGGTCTTTATGTGAAAAAACAATAAAACCAGAATTTTTGTCTATTAGAATTTAAAAATAGCTGATGAGTTAGAATAATAATAATGAACCTTTGGGTTTGTCTTCTTTCACTATGCTTCATCAGAATCAACACTAGGCAAAGTTGTGTGAAATCTCTTTGAAGCTCTCTTTTGGTTCTTCCAAATGCTAGGCCAAAGGAGAAATGAATGAGTTCCAAATGTGCCTCCTCCCCAAAATGACAAAAAAAAATTGATAAGGAAAATTAAAAAGCAAGATCCCACAAAATCCATGTCATAAAACTTATATAAAATCAGTTAATCACATTATATAATGGGGAAAGCACTTATTATAATTTCAGATATGATTATTTGGGATATGGAGGGGGTTACTCAGAAGTGCTCAGGGGCCACACCTGACTGTCTTAAGGACCAATACTGGCTTTCTGCTCTGGGGTGACACCTGGTGATGCTCTGGTGACCGTAGGTGGTGCTGGGATTTAAAACATTGCTGCAGTCATAGCCACTTGCAAAAAAAAAATACCTTAGCCCCTATACTATCTACTAAATAACAAGATGGTTAATTTTAACTTGTTCAGTGCAAGCTACTTACATCCTGATGAACCAAAAGGCATGACAGTGGTCCAACTGATAACCAACATTCCATTGACTCTGTTTCTTCTGAGAGGGCTTATCAAAAACCGTCTTAACAAAAATTTTCCACTTGGGTTACTTTATTGTTTGTTTCTTCTCCTTTTCCTCTTCTTTTTTTCAGGTTAGACTCAAATAAACCAATTATGTATTTGGAAAACAAAGAAGCTTTAAACCAGGCATTAGAACGATCAAATTGGCCTATTTCATTGAAAGAGTTGTCCATGCTGGAAAATGAAATCTTAGTCGGGAAAATGTATATCCAGCAGGCCATGGAGCTCGAGGGGGCGGCCAAGAAAGAGAATGAAAGCAGAACACTGATAGAGGTGGGTGCCTTGGCATTGTCTGTTAATTTCCACCCCATCCCATCATTACCAGCTTCATTGATCTCCCTTTCTTTCCCCTACTTCACTAATTTCTTAAGTTAAAGCAACAGAAAAAAAGTCATATGATTTTTTTGTGATTATGCTTTACTGGGGGGCCTTGGAGTCACCCTAAAGCAGTGCTCTAAAGCAGTGCTCAGGAGGCCAAAAGCCCCACCAGTGATTCTTCACCAACAGACATTGATTTAATGCAAGAGTCTGAAGATGTGGTGCTGATGCTCAGGCACTGGGGAACTGGGATACCCAGGTCATCCCCCTGGCACTGGAGGTAATTTTGATTTTAAAAGAATATATCTTTTCATTGAAAAAGCTAAAATACAATGCAATGATTAAAATGCTGGACTTTGATATAGCCAGATCAGGGTCAAGCCTCAACCCTGCCCAGATGTTTTGTGTTTCCACCTCCAAATCTTTCTGAATTCTATATAACTTTCCTGTATTCCCTATACGGCAGTCTGAATATAGACCCAAATAACTCATCTTTGAGAATCCTCTTTCTGGTTTCAGTTTTAGCTACATGATACTGATTTTGCTGAGCTTTAAATTATGTGTTTGTTGCTCAAGATTTTTGTATTTTATTTGGTTTTTCTTTAGTGGTATTTCCCTCTGAAAATCACATTTTTCCCTTTAGTATAGAACTCTTGTGAAGACAAAAGAACTGCCTGTTGATGTCATTTAAGCCAAGTAACTTCCTCAAAGAATTGTATAGTGCATAGTTGTATGGTGATTAGTGTATAGTGTATAACTATATAGTGTTATGTATATTTATATAGTGTACAGATATATATTTGTATAGTATATACATGTTGTATGGTATATAGTTCTATAGTGTATGGATGTATAGTTGTATAGTATAATACAGTAAATAGCTGTATAGTATAATACAGTAAAGTATAATATAGTAAATACTTACAAGTTTCTCCAACGGACCATGAACTATGTCAGGCACTTAGAGTGCCCAGGACACAGTGGATCAATCCCAGCTATTCTAGTGGGATTAGTAAGTAATAGATCCTGAATGGTGAATGTTCACATCTAGAATTGTGACAACACCACTCCTAGCAGCAAATTTTTCTGGCATTATTAGATGTATATTTTATATTAAATGTAAAAATGGAGAGTGCTGCTATTGGAATGTTAAGAGACTTTTTATAATTCAGAACAAAAAGAGTGTTTTATTGAATTTATCTGGAATTCTAGCAAAGAAAAGCACATTGGTAAGGGGGCATAAATTAATTATTCTAGTTCTTTATTTCCTATTTACAAAGTGAGAAATATATAAGTTCCATAAATTCTTCAACCCTAAATATGTGTTCGCTCTCTTGCATGAATCAGATTCCATTGATCAGAAAAGTTCTTGGCCAGGGAACAGTCTGATACCATTACTGTTTCTCTCCTTCAGGCTTCCCCATTGGGACTTTGTTAACTGCATTGAAGACTTGGGTCCTATGTAGTGAAGAGACACTAGAAATCAAAAGATTTGAGTCAAGCAGAGTGCTACTAGTTTCTAGCTGTGTGACCTTACTTGATTCTCCTATAAACTAAAACTTCTCAGTTTATTTTTATTTATTTATTTTTTAATGTAGGAGTACTGCTATTTATTCAGCCACTGATTAGGCTGGTTGAATTGGGCATGAACTCCACCTTACTATTTTTTTCATTTTTTATAATTTTATTTATTGAATCACCATGAGAGCAGTTACAAAGCTTTCGGGTTTAAGTCTCGATCATACAAGGAAACACCTGTACCTTCACCAGAGCCCATTCTTCATCCCCAAAAACCCCAGTATACCCCTCATCCCACACCCTCCCTCTACCTGTGTGGCAGATGATTTCCACATTATTCTCTCTCTACTTTGATTACATTCAATATTTGGACACCAGACCCACCATTATTATTTGGGATTTTACCCCAACACTGAGATCTACGAAAAAGCAACAGCAGACAATTTGTTTTCTATTGCTGGTAATGAATAACATGATGTCATGCAGCTGCAGTAGTGGCCACGTGATTTTGAAATTTCAAAATTTTAACAATTAAATCTGGAGGGATTTCTGCCAAAACCTGCTAGGTTCCGAGATTTGTTCCTGAGTCTCTGGGATCATGGCCGTTAAACAGCTTGATCAGGAGCCAGAGAGGCCTTTCGTGGATGGTGACTCGAGGTCTCGTTGGGGTGGGGAGGAAAGGGCCAGCTCCACCCCCATCCTGTGAGGGGGCCCCACGTGTCTCGTCACTGTGGGCCCAAACGTGACTGTCCAGTGGTTTCAGGAGGATGGCAGCCACCAGGCTGCCAAGGGGGAGCAGGCGGAGGGACAGCACACTTTCCCCCCTGGGGTGGCCTGGCGACAGTAACCTACTGCAGGGTCCGGACTCAATTCTGCCAAAAGCCGCTGGGTTTCGAGATTTGTTTCTGAGTCTCTGGGATCATGACCGTTAAGCAGCCTTGATTAGGAGTCAGAGAGGCTGTTCATGGGCAGCAACTCGGGGTCTCGTTGGGACGGGGAAGAAAGAAAGGGCCAGCTCCACCCCCATTCTGTGAGGCTCTCGTGTCTTGTCACTGCGGGCCCAAATCTGACTGTCCAGTGGCCTCTGGAAGATGGCAGCCACTGGGCTGCCAGGGGGAACAGGCCAAGGCATGAAACCTATTCCCACCTGGGGTGGCCTAGCACTGGTAACCTACTGCAGGGACTGGATGTATTTCTGACAAAAGCTGCTGTGCTCCGAGATTTGTTTCTGAGTCTCTGGGATCATGGCCATTAAGCATCTTGATTCTGAGTCTCTGGGTAAGACTTCTCATTTTAAAAGTGGAAAATATCTAAGTGCTTAGCTAAAAAAACACTTATAAGTCAATGGACACAATATGCTAAGGACAGTGTAGAGCATTAAGTATTCAACATCTAATTATCAACATAGACTCATTATTGCTATCACCTTTTTCATGCATTTTGAAAAGTCTTAAGAATGATGCCTGGGAGTCATCTGATTTGTTAAAGGGAGACAATTAGTGATACTAACCAGAATAATTTTAGTGGCATTGCCAACTACAACTCAACTTGCAATGGGTGGCAGAGTTAGTAGATGAGAAAGTGAGAAAGTAAATATAGGTAGTGAAGACCTTTGTTTAAAGATGTTCATAGGGAAGAAACTGAGAACAAAATGGTGGGAATTTAAGCCAAAGTGAAAGAAGACACTTTGTGTACTGTTCAAGGGAGTCCTCTGTGCCCAGGGCCTCTGTGGTCCATAGAGGTGTGTTGGTGGGTGGGGGGAGCTGGCAATGGGGGAAGTCCATTTACACTTGACTGTTTTTATCTTCAGAGCTCTTCCCACTCTTCATGTCCCTGGGCAATTGAAGATATTTTTATACTCTTTTTTTAAAATATGATACTTCTTACCATATGTGATAATGTGATAGATTATCAGAAAATTGTATTCCATTTCCATCATGTCCAATTGATTGATTTCAGGATTGACTAACAGTTCTCTAACATGAAAAATGTTCATTAGAACCAAAATTGCAATTGTTTTGAAATCTTAGGATAAGAATTCACCACAGGTGCAGTTATTTTCACTGGGGTGTGTGTGTGTGTATGTGTGTGTGTGTGTGTGTGTGTGTGTGTGTGTGTGTGTAGTATCATTTTAAATTTTTTTACTAAAAGCCAAAGTCCTGGATCAGTGATTATAAATTAGGGAGAAACCTTTGTGACTCTTCAGTGTGCTTATGTGTGGCCAAAAGTGAACAAAGTCTGTTTGAGATAGTTTCCAAATTTCACAATTGCCCTTATCTGTGAGAATGGAGAAGTGACTATATTTGGTCTGGTGGTTGAGGTTCTGGAAGTCAGTGTCTCTGATACTCTTTTCTGTACTGCACAGCCCATTTGTTCATGAGCTTGAGAGCTTTGTGATTTTCCATGGATGATAATGTAGAGACATGAGAGAAGTGGCAACCCATACATTCTTTTTGCACTCCAGCCTTCAATGGCAGTGCTTTGTTGGTCTCAGGATTCAGACCCAAGAAGAGAACCATTATTCTGCCAGCTCTGCCCAAGACCTTGCTCTGGCCACATTCCACCCTTGACTATGTAACTGCCTCTTCCTCACTTCTGTGATTCACTAGTGTTATGGCCTCCTGAAAACAGTTGCTTATTTACTGGCCACCTAATGAAAACCTAAAATGTACAAAAATGCCATTAAAAGTAGCCTTTTTTTAATATATACATGATACCCCTTCAGTATCTGTATTCTGTAACCATAAATTCCAAAAGGAAGAGGAGGCATGAAAGGAGGAGGAGAAAGAGAGAAAGAAAGAGAAGAGAAGATGAGGAGAAAGAGGAAGAGGAGGAGGAAAATGCCTTCCATTGAGGCAGGGTCTGGGAGAGAGGGGGGTGCTGGAGGGAAACTGGGGACATTGGTGGTAGGAAATGTACACCAATAAAGAAATGGGTGTTGGAACATGATATGACTCAAATCCAATCATGAACAGCATTGTAATGGTGTATCTCAGTGTGATTCAATTAAAAAACCAAATTTTTAAAAAAGTAGTGCTCTTTTTACCCTGATTGCAGAGCTCACTATCATAAGTCTGAGCTTTCAGAATGTTATTATGGTAGAAATGATCAACAGACATCTGAATTGTAATTAGTCTTCCCTAGTTCTCCCTGGGAGCTAGATGTAGGCTACAGCAACAGTCCCATAATATATGAGAGCTGTTTTCTGTGGCAAATCCCAAAGAATCCAGGCCCAGAAAGATCCAGTGAATTCTCTGTACCTGTAACCTTGACTGACCTGGACAATTTGGAGGCAGAAAGTCTTGTTAGTCTGTAAGCAGCTTAAGCACCCCCAAGAGGCCTTGGAAATGTACCTACACAGCTGGCTGCTCATGTTTACTTCTCAGAGTTGAAGTAATCAGTATGGAATATAAAATCTCTGACCTTTAGGAATGGTG